CCAATGACCTCCGCCGTATAGGTGATGGGTTGTCCAGCTGTTGCCATGGTCAAAGTGACCTCTCCAAGAGTCGATTCGCTGTTCCCTGAAATGCCAGAGACTGGAGTGATCTTGTTGCAGTTGATCTCCATTTCGCCCATGGAGCAACTGTCTCACTGCCAACCAAGCCGGATGCGGCCCCAGGGTCGCTGAGCAAACCATATCGCTCTTGGCCATGGATTGTGCGCTAGCTCATCTGCGCCTCTTCTTTCTTCACGTTGAAGACCAAGAAGTTCATCTTGAGCTTCAAGTCGTAGTGATCCTTGGTCGTGTACTCCCTTGAATATCCCTCGAAGTCTTCATCCTCGGATGAGGTGTGGATCACGAAGCTCTCAGACGTCTTCTTGGTCGTCTTGGCTTCTTTAGAGCTGGTGGCAACCTCTTGAGGCGTTGAGGCATCAGGAATGCCTTCGCTGATCGACAGGCCACCACGAGGCTTGTAGGCGTCGTCCTCATAGTATATAGGTGTATAGTAGTGGCCTTTTCGGCCAAAGCATTTGCCCTTGCCTTTTCCTTTGCTTCTCCAAGGGGGCTTGCTCTTGCTCTTGCCTTTGCCCTTGAGGTTGGGTCGCCATCGCCAGAAGACTTTTGAAATTCCTTTTCCTTGGTAGTTGTGGCTGCCCTTCTTGTTCTTGCCCTTGCCAAGTGGACAATCTCGAACTCTGTGGAACTTGCTGCCAGTTGAAGCAGCCATCATCATTGCCATTGCCTTTGCCCTTGTAGTAGGCTTTGTTGTACTCGCCAGAGACGTTGGAGTCGCTTGCTGAGCCACGCCAGCCTCAAGGTCAACCTCTTGCCGTGGTTCATCGCTGGCATTCTGGCTCTCATAGTAGGTCTCATCATTGGCGTACTCCTCATAGTCAATCCTGGTAGTAGGCGTCGTGGTCGCCATAGGACTCATCGTTTCCTCATAGAGGATCTGTGCATCATCAGGTTCGCGCCGATTGAGGTTGATGCGCAATGCCAGAGCTCTTGCGTCGTTGAAGCGAGTGTAGTCGCCAGCGATCTGCAGCTTGATGTCATCAACAGTCTTGGATGGCAGTCCTAAGTTCTTGAACCATAGGAAAGAACTTGCCAACATCGTTCAGCTGCAGTCCAACTCTGTCATGAGCATCATCGTATCGGCTGTCGAACTCCACGCTGTACTCAGACAAGCTAAGCTGTCCGCGAGCAAGGCCGAAGAACTTGTCTAGGGCTTGTGTAGCCAGATCTTGATCTTGCTGAAAGAAGGCCGTGCGGAGTGCATTGGCCAGGAAGATGTGGTTCTGAATGACCACATTGGTCGTCGGGTCACGGACCTCGTCAACAGCCAGTCAGACAAGCGCTGCATCGCCAACATCGAAGGAGCCGTCAGGCCTAGGCACCCTCAGTGACATGGCAATGGTGGATGCTCTTCCATAGAGCCTTCCGGCCACCAATGGCCCAATGGCCTCATCCTCCACATTGGCGACCCCGTACCAAAGCTTCAGCTTGTCGAAGTAGGTCCTCAAGGCGCCTGCAATCCAGCCTGGCGGAATGTCCCGCCTGTACTCCTGGAGCGGAATGCTCCCAGAGCTTGGCGGATTCATAGTCCAGCGATCTTGTAATCGATGGAGTCCACGGGGCCTGTGATGAAGTTCTCAAGGATGTAGGAACCACCAGCTAGCGGTGTCTTGCAGCGGCCAATCCGCCACCGAGCCTCTGCCTTCCTGGTCTCTTCCTTCCAAGCCGCCGTCGAAAAGGATTCCGACCTCTGTGTCACGCTGACCGTGGTGGTAGCCGCAGCGAGCACCAGCAGCCTATGGCAGCGCTGGAAAAAACGGCAACGGAGCACCAGGCTCCGCTACCAAACTCGACAGATTTGTGCCCAAGGCGCCTGCTGGCATATTCTCCTTGAGGACTGATTGAAGGTCCGGTTCATCGACCTTGGGTGAGGGATCAATGCCTAGCTGGATCAGCTTGGTGCGCATGCCTTCATCCAATGTCGACCACGCTGGAGCTAGGATGTCTGCAGCCGACTGTTGAAGTTTGGCCGGGCGTGGTGCCTTGCTGACCGGGAGACCCGGTGGAGGGGTCACTCGTCTTCGGTTGGTCTTCCATGAAGTTGGATATCTGTCTGTGGCCTTGGCAAATCCTTGTGCCGGCTGCTTCCATGGAGTAGAGCACATCCGGCAGACATAGTGAGGCTGAATTCGGTCTTCCCAGATCCAATTGCCACAGTCCTTAGAGCTGCAGCACTGGTAGGCGCGGAAGGATTGCCAGCCCATGAAGAAGAAATGCCAGGTCACCGAAGGTGATATCAGGAGTGTTCCTCTTGTCCACGCAAAGGGCGGGTGAAGAACCAATGCCGAAGAGCTCCAAAGGGCCCTGTGCCCGTGCTTGAGCAGGAAACTTGAGCCATATATATATATATATGTGTGTGTGTGTGTTCTTTATATATATATACATACATACACATATTGCATCGCAGCAATGCGACTGAGCTGCCATTCTCTGATGGAAAAATCTCTGACAATTGCCAAGCCAGAACAACGCTTAGCCTTGATTGCGAAAAATATCCACTGTCTGGCTCTCACAACAAAGGCTATTGGTACACTTCCTACTATATACATCGTCAAAGTGCAAGGAAATCTTTGTTCCTGGAGCTAACAGCTTGGAATGACTCAGACATGGACAAAAGGGTTAGCAGCCTAGTTTGATCGAAAGCTTAAAACCTTTATATTATATACAACTATATATATATATCCTCTCTTCATGCTTCCTTTTGGAAGCATGTACCTGACTTCAATATCACTGCAGAAAAGCACCGTGTTGTCTGATGCAGTTGAGTTGCGCAAATGTTATGCTCAGCGGATTTAGCAAAAGCAAACATATTCTGTCAGCTGTGAGGTCCCAAAACGAAATTTGGACTGGTTGTCTGCTGCCACCTGAGCGTCACATGAGGTCTTTTCCATTTTGGGCCAAAGCAGTCATTGAAATCTACATTTCACCTTGCAAAATGTTGCACGACCACAATCAACCATGCCACTTTGCAGAAATTCCCTGCCAGGATCGCCAAACATCGTGGTGTACCGGACGCCCACGATTTCCGACATATCTTGGATGTCAAGGCTGCCAAAAGCATCATGAGGACACACTTAGAGAATGGCTCTCATCTTATTGCAGCTGAAGATCTCCAACAGCCTCCCCAGTGCCACGGATTGCCTGAAGCTTGTGGGAGGTCTTGGTAATCCTCGCCAGGCCTGGGCAATTAAGGTCCACCTTCACTTTTGGTCACTCTTCACTTTGACCAGATTGGATCAAGGTGCTCAACATGCCTCCACCACATCAGCAGCCCAGCTTGACCATCAATGGCAGTGCTCTCAGTGATGACCTTATGACCACAAAGCAAACAAACCATGGGGCTGGAGTCGTGATCGCACAACGTCAGCTGCTGTCCAAGCTATCCCTTGCTCAGGGTCAGGAGTATGGACCATGTCGCTGAATGCAGGGGAAGGGGCGCAACCTGGCCAGCGAAAATCACCTGATCTCAAGGACACTGATCTCAAGCACACCATCTTCCAACATCCATCAACAGTCTTGGCCAGTTGCTGTAGCTCAAAGTTAATGGTACTCCATCTCGAAGCGGTGGAGGACGAGGCACCAAATCGGCACCGTCTGCCATTCAAACGGATGCAAACAAAACTGTGTGAATCTACACCGCTACTGTTCTCTGACCGAATACTTTGTAATGCATGTATCAACAAAAGAACATGAAGTCAGCGCAGGGTACATATTTTGTTGAATACAAACACCTTCTTCTTTGGGAGTTGTCCATTCCCACGAATCTTTCTGCACCAGACCACAGTTATAAGATAAATGACTATGCTGCTATGCTGAGTCTGCACTAAATCTACAAAGGCATCACTAGCATCATGTACCCTGCAAATGAACTATGGTGAAGGGTGTATCTCCACAGCGTAGCCTCCAACATCTGGTAGTGGTGGCGGCCTGAGTTTGCAACAGTGCAAGCGGTTGTAGAATTTGGTTGCTGCTCAAGGACTTGCTCAGAATTGGACACGTCAGCTTCAGCTGCATCTGCAAGGGAATCCATCGCAGCTGGAATCACCACTGGTTTAAGTTTCTACATCTTCCAATCTGCTTGAGCAAAGTTGGCAGAAGCAAGACACAAACTAAAGCACCACGAGCACCACAAGTTCAAGCATGCTTCTGAAGTATCCGGAAACTGTCATATCAAACGTCGTCATGTGTCGACGCCATCAACTCCAACCTCCAAGCTTGAAGCAAACACATCTGCACCAGAATGACCACTCAAGGTTTGATATCGCCACGAGTTGCATTTCAGTCACAACCTTCAATGCCCGCAGAATTCATGGCTTCATTGAACTTGATGTGTCTGCCGAACTCCACACAGTTGACTTTTTGTATTTTTCGTTTGATGTATCCCCTCCATTCACAACTTGCCCCGACACTACAGTTTCCAAAATATCATAACGTTGTTACAGCTGCGAAACGATCAAACTGGCAATGCACTGCTTCCAACACCCCCAATGAACCATGTTTTGGTCACCACGTGAAACTTCGCACTGCACTTGTAGAAGTTACAAGACTCGTTGGGAAGGCTCTGTTCCCCCCACTCACAGTATGCGGTTTGCAACTCCTCTTGAAAGAAGGACAAAGCTGAGTCGGGGCAAGCGTGTTGACGGGATTTCCATAATCATGTGGGCAGTGTTAAAGAATTGTTGAGTCAGAAACTGTGCGACTGAGATTGTTTTGACCAAATATGTGTCCAACTACCTTTGCATTCTTCGTGCTGATGCTGTTCGTCTCTGTAAAGCTGCGAAGAAGCGCTTGTTCACTGCAGACAAGTAAGCAAGTAAAAGACATGAATAAACATGAACACAAACGTACGGGGTGGTCACACCGTCATACCCTTGAACTTTGTCGACACTTTCAACACTAGCACACACTGTGGCAAGGGCTTTCCAGCGAGCACCCGCTGCCCAATGTGGATCCAACCTTGTGCAAGCCGCAAGAACGAAACGAAAGCGTTGGACTCATATAAGGGTTCTTCTTTCACCTGCCTCAAGGCTTTTAAAGGTTCCATAATCATAAGGTTCCTTTTTTTGTTCCTTGAACCTGTTTGGTGCCCACCAAACAGATTGACCTGACAGGTTGAAAGAGCACCCTTCAGCTACCCCAAGCAGGTCCCAAAAGAACCGGTTAAACCCGATATCCCGACAGGTCAAAAATGAACCCTGCAGCTACCCCACCCTTCTCTTAACTTCAAACGTGTCAGAAAAGAACGGATTAAAACTGTCCCATCGTTTGAACCCCTTAAAGCTAGAACAGGAGCAAAAAAGACGGACAGCAGAGGGAAAAATGAAAACACTGCTCGTAGCAGTGCTTCTTGGATGATGAGGCACGGCAATGCCTCGTGGCGAAAAAATGGATTACATTGTAGCTGTGTGGTGGGGCTGGGCTGCAGGTACACTTGTCAGAGTCGGATTTACAGGGGCACTCTTCGGACCGGATGTTTGAAAGTTTGGCTCCAAGGCGGGCATCAAGCCGGTGATGAATGCAACATGCGTCCTGACGTTTGATACGCCGAGGACGTTGCAAGCAGTTCCTCCAAAGGCACAGAAACATCCTGAGAAGCCAACGAGGTGCCGGAGCAGAATTGAGAGGTATGCCCATTTCTTCTCTGTGCTCCTCCTGGCACAAATCTCCCGAGAAAGACCTGGGATACAATTAGTTTCTCTGATGATCTTTGCTGCTTCATTCTGTGTCCATGTCTGTTTTCTTCAGGTCTCAAAGCCCAAGCAGGCCGGAGGACTGGCAGGTTCAATTCTACTAGCCAGCCATAGCCACGGCCCCAAGGATGCGGCCTAGGAAAGCAGCCAACTTGCACAATAATAATCTCTTCATGAGAGCAGTCACATGTCGTGAAACCAGACTGCAAAATATAATCCACCTTGAATTGCCTCAGGGCAACTGGGTTGAAGATGGAACAATCTCAGATGCCAGCCCTGAGCGGACAGAAGGGCTGTCCTATCAAGCACTGAATCAAAGTAGAGGCGACAGGTAAGGAAAGGGTGAGTTGCTTGACACATCTTCCTCCCATTTCTCAGCTGCCACTGCATCATCCTTGGACATCTAAGCTATCAAAGTCAAAGTCTGTGCAAAAATGGATAGGAAAAGTCGACCCACATAGAAGAAAAGCTGGAGCAATGAATTGCAGTCTGCACACCACGGAGTAAGGTGGCATTCTCCAGCACCATTCCTTGAATGCTGAGACTAGTTTTGTTCATCTCGCAGACTTCTTTAGATGAAACTCACAGACTTTGAGGAGACTTAGAATCACACACCGGATGGTGACCGCCCAATAGGCCATTCGACTGCGGCCTCAAATGAGAACACTTCTTCAACTTCATGTGGCCGTCGGGCCGTTCGGTCGGATAACAAAAAAACCAAGTCTCCGGCACTTGTTGAAGAGCGCTTCCGAAAAAAACCTTGTACAGTCCACCAATACTGTGAGCAACAACAGCAACTCTTCTGGGTGCCCAGCGGGCTCGGCGCATCAACATGCCTGGCCTGTACACTGTACATTCAAACCCAATGTTCTTATGGACTGCCTTGCTGAATAGTCCATTCAGAATCCAAGGGAGAACAAAAAATGCTGCACATACGGCACCGCAAGATTGAAAGGCTCTTAATGCGGGAAGATTCGGGAAGATAGATTTATCTTTGTCAGAAAAGGTAACTGAGTAGGTGATTGGATCCCCACCCTGGGTCTCAAATAGAATTAAGTTGCAACTACAGTGGAACCTCACCTATTGTCAGCCATTTTCCACGGAATCTCAACAGCAGCTCATCAAGAATGTTAGACTACATATTGGAGCAGTTGAGAACGTTTAATGAAGGGGACCCGGATGCATCTCTTCCTCCATGTCGTGTTGTTTGATGCACTCCTGAGCTTCAAACGATATAAAATATTCGATCGAAACCCTGTACACCCCAAAAACAGAATAATCAACTCGGGGTTTTTCACCTACTACGGTCCTGGGTCTCGATCAGGCAAACCTCCGTTGCTGTTCAATACATCCCATCCCGTGCTCAAGGTGAGCAAGTATGTAAGGCGTGCAATGTGCATATGCACAGGGGGAATTAACACATGGACAGGTATCTCGTCTACACGTCAGTAATGGCGAAGAAGACTCACCAAGGAACTCAAGCAGCAACAAGAATGTTTACGTAGGCCGGATTGTTTGGTGAGTTTCAGATTCACTGTGCTGCTCACTCCGGTATCGAAATGGTGGATATATCGCGATTGGCCCGCAAATAGTTTCGCAATGAGTCTTGAAAGGCTGCTCCGCAAAAAACTGGAATATGTCAAGAAACTGAATACAGGCCGGCTTTTTGAGAGACCTGTTGAATATATATATATATATATCACGGCGCCATAGTTGCCCTACCCCGGTTTCGGGGTGCATGTGCAGCTGCTGCAACAATGCTGGTGGAAGCTCTGTCAACCAATGTTCAACTTCTACGACCAATGTAGGGTGCCAAAAACTATTGAAGCAACCGACTGCTAGTGCATTCAAGCAACGACAAGGGCTTTGGGAGGTGGGAGGGTAGAAGCTTGAGCGCGGCGACTGCTTTCGTGGCTCTGTGATAGAAACCATCACGGTGTTTTTTTCTTTGCAGTGCCTGAGTTGCCCTACCCCGGTTTCGGGGTGCA